GTGTGTGTGTGTGTGCGCGTTTGTGTGTGTAGTGCGAGTGCAGCTCAGTTCTGATACTAAAACAAAGTTTGCATCAAAGCATAAGTAGTTCTCAAAAGGGAGCTGTAATTTTAGGACAATTTGCCGCGAGGATGCAAGGCAACCGTTTTGGAAAAATGGGTAGCAAAGTTTGGGGCAGTTGCGTATGTGCATCCCATTTTTGAACGAAAGCTGAATGGTGTAAAAGGCAATGCGAAGGAAGAGGCATCCACGGCTGCCGGTACCACCTTTTTTCAGTGCGCTTTCGTCAGATTCTTTAGCGACCAAGCTGCGCAGAAACTAATTAAGGTATTTTTTCACTATGATAAACGGATGCATTTTTTGAGAAGATTTGGTAAACGCGCATGTGAAATGAATCTGATTAACGGCTTACGAAACTTGACTAGTGGCTCATAAAAGACCACCCAAATGCTACAGCGCTAGACTGCGGCGCGCATCGCGGAAGGCTGTGTGTTTATGCTATACCCGCACCCGCATGCGGACTCTCTACACGTGTTTGCTGTGTTATTTCAACAGTGCTCACCAGAATGTGCTTTTGTTAACGGAGAAATGTAGAAGAAATTTGCAGTTCCATCGAGCTTTGCGTATGAAAGTTGCCAGAATACGGCGTAAAATGCGCAGACTGAGAAGGCTGACTCAAAGGTATTCGCGTTGTAGACGCAAGTACGCGAAGGTACGCGGCAAGAAAATGAAGCTGATGAAAGAACGGGCATTAAAAAAACGACTTGAAAAGAAATCTGAGGCAATACCAGGTGAAGAATTTTGTGAATTTATATGGCTCTACGAGATTCGTTTATGATTCTCCTCTCTTTGCCTAACCGAAATGAAAGGTTATGATGGTCTGGATTTAAGCTGCCATAATTTCGTCAGAGCTTCCGCAGCGTTGAACGTACGCTGAATTTCTCTCTTACCCGCTCGAGGGGTTCCAGGAACATGTGCATTAGTTGTGCCTGCTGCATTAGTATGGCAGTTTTGCTCGTTTGCTACTTTAGTCGTTTGGTTGTATTTGAGTGGTCAGTTCTGCTTCGTTTCAACAAGCTGCTAATGCGCGTTAATTCAAACATATTTTCAGTGAAATCGGAGAGTTCGGATGCGACTGTACCTGACGCGTCGAAAGAGGATATCGCCTGCACTTCTCACGCTGCTTCCGCTACGACACCTGATCATAAAAGCTCTAGAATGCAGAGGAAACGAAAAAGGAAGCCGAGCTGCACAGGGTCGAAAAGCATTCATCGCAAAAAACGTAAGGTGTGCCGTGTAGGTCTGTCCCCCCTTGTAGTGATGTGCGGCTCACCGCTTTTATCACATTTGATAATTGCATTTTAGTGTCAGGTTTGTTCAAATATCTTAGAGGTAAAATTTTTGCAGGTCGAAAAACGATTAGTACGACAGCAGTGGAAGAACCTGGAGTGAAGGAGGCTGAAGAATTGCTTCCAACTGCGCCAGATCGTGTAAATCTTGATAAAAATGCTTCAGCTAAGCAGTCATCAGTAAATATTAGTGACGCTGCTTTGGAAACATCTGGAGGAAATAATTCTGAAATGACAGCAGAAAGAGTAAACGGGCATTTAAAGCATGCTGGAACAAATACTTCTCAAGAATTTTTGCAAGAGACTGTCGTTGGCACTTCGAAAAAGTAAGCAGAAAGTTTCGCTCATCGGATTTATTTGATCTTATTCATCAGTGTCCAGTACAGTTTTGGGGCAAAACGTGATGCGGAATGAAAATGATCAAAGTCTGAAGTGAGCTACCTCATAAATAAGTGCTGATTTTGGGGAATTCGTTTGAGATCTTCCAGTTATCTTTTTTTTTTCTAAGCGTCGTTCTTCAGGCGAAAGCGTGTACATCGGCGAAAACCACTGAGAACTAAGCCGGAGTTTCGTGTGCCATGTTTGAAACGATACTTTTCTATGATGCAGGTTTTTACACTGTAAGTTATATTTAAACGAGATTTTTCTTTTACCCAGAGTATTTTTTCAAGCTCTTTATCGTTCCCTCTTGCATCACTCTTTTCCTTGTTCCTTGCAGTTTAAATTCATCTCTTTATGCGTTTTTGCCTTGCAGCGCTAGAGCGCTATAACAGGCAGCAAAACCACATATTACGACAACCCTGTCTGCGTACGTGTGTGTGTGTGTGTGTGTGTGTATGCGTATGCGTGTGTGTTCGTCTGTCCCCGTCTTTTTATGCAGCAACCACACAAGCTTTAACGCTGAAATTATGCCACTGTGTTCCCTGGCCAGTTGCGATCCTAGCGACGTGATGTTGACTTTTTGTTACGCACATCTGCATCTTATGTACGGGCACGGAAAATTTCGGCGGGAAAAATGCTAACTTGGGAACGAGAAAAGCTAGAAAGCTGAAACTTTATGGAAATGTTTCCTACTCATGTACAACCAAAAGATTTCAAATTCAGCTGATTAGAACCGTCGGTGTCTCACGTACAGGCGAGTGGAAGTTTCGGTCGAAAAATTGCTAACCCGGGGAATGAGAAAAGCTAGAAAGCTAAAACTTTGGAGAAATGTTCACTATTCATGTGCGGCTAAAAGACTTCAAATTTAGCTCCTTGGAACCGCCCGTGTCTCACATACGAACGTGTGAAAGTTTGGCGGAAAAATTGCTAACTCGGAACGAGAAAAGCTTGAAAGCTGAAACTTTAAGGGGTTATTCACTACTCGCGTACGAACAAAAGATTTCAAACACAGCTTTTCTCGTGGGGTCTTTTTCGCGCACCAGCAAGTTTTTGTTTGTCAGGTCATTGAAGCCGACGTCTACAACTGATACATCACATAGCTGTGCAGTTAATTTCCTAAGCTTCGAAGGCCAGTGTGTTACGAAATTCTAGCTGCTAGGATTCCTTGCGATCTTGCTACAGCACGAAATAATGCAAAAATACGTGATCGCACGGGCCCGCCTGGTGCGCGTTGCTAATGATTTGATGTGTTTTTCAGGAGGAGTTTCCGGAATCTTCGTGCGAAATATTTCGAGTTGCGGAAGCAACAAATGATTCAGTTGAAAGCTAGTTTAGAAGGGTTGGGGAAGGAAGGTCATCATCATTTGCTTGGAAAAGGATGGAAACGTGGCCGCAGTCTAGTAAGTTTGTTATGCGTTTTTGCATAATATGCAAAAACACATATTGTGACGATCCCGGTGTGTGTGCATGTGTGCGTGTGTGCGTCTGTCCCGCGTTGTTCAACTCGGCACCCAAGCAAGCTCCGGCGCCAAAATTTTGCGAGTGGGTGCCCCGGTCAAGTGCCACCCCAGGACCGCGGCAACAACCCTCAAGCACGTCTAGGCCCGTGTACGAGCGCCTCAAAGTTTTGGCGGAGAAATCGCTAACTCGGGAACCAGAAAAGCTAGAAAGCTGAAATTTTGGGATTATGTTTCCAGTCCAAGTAGAACTCAAAGACTTCAGTTTCAG